CCTGTTCATTTATTTATTTATTATAGGCCAGCAATGTAATATTTTGGTTGCGTTACAGAATGTAACCAAAATATTACATTGCTGGTCTACCAATGTAATATGGTAGATCAGAAATGTATGCATCGGATATGATACTCAGATGTATAGCATCTACATCTGCTGACTTGTTTCTTTTCACATTGTCATTAAGATATAAAGCTCATCTTGTCATTCACATGTCATTAAGTTCATTAAGGTGTAAAACTCATCTTGTCCCTATTTCCCACAGTTCATCTGACTCAACTTTGTGAAAACATCAGGTCAGATATCAGACATTTTTAAAAAATATATATTTTTATTCTTTTTAAACAAAACAACACATACAAAACAAAGCAAGCTTTAATTCTGCTTTATATATCTTTACCTCAGTCATCTCTGCACCCAGCTTTTTTGCTTCTGATATATTTGTAAATTATTGATCTTAACACTGAACAGTAAGCTGCTCAGAATCTTTTCCAAGGATTTGTTTTTATAAATTTGGATGGGTTTAGTTCTCCCCATTAGAGTAAGTCTTCTCTACTAGTTTTCTTGACACATCTCATTATACATGCATGTGATCTCTTGCACTAGGTTGCACTTCTCCTGCCCTACAGTAGGCATTTTCTCTGAGCCATTATTGTAGTTTTGAATAAACTCCAAGCATCCTGGTTTTTTTTCCCCCTTTCTTTTTACATTCCTCTACTGTCAAATAAATTCTCTAGTTTAGCAAAACATGACTGTCCTGGACTTCTTATAGAAGTATCTTCCTTCTCTAAATATTAGGCTATGTTCTCTTTAATATTAGAGAATCAAATACATATCACTTCCAAGAAGTTTAAGTTTAATAAAGTGACAAAATCAGAGATTTTATCAACAGCAGCGTTTTTCATCCTGATCAATTTATGATATATGGACTTCAACTCCCAGAATTCCCTAGCCAGCATGGCCATTGCTAAGAATTTTAGGAACTGAAGACCACACATCACAAGGTCACCAAGTTGGGAAATGCTGATTCCTGCTTTACAGTATTTAATCACTGCTGACTGGAGGAATCAAGTTAAGAGGTTTGAAAAATGCACTAGATTTACTAGCTAAGTCATGAAAGCAAATTTCTTAGTATTTGGTTGACTTTTCTATATGAATACAAAGGTTGAATAATTGTTTTTCTTTATTGATGCTTGTCAGCTGTCTTGGTAAATGTCTCTTATTATGTTAAAATAGACATATTTCATATTAGTAAGATACATTTTGCAGTAATTATGAAGACACATAACTGAAGTTAAATACTTCAGTTACATGTCTTGATAATATGTAGATACTGAATGTATCCACATATATCTTAAATTGTTGTAAGCAGAGCACCTACATTTTAATGCAGTATTTAAATGAGAAATAATATCTACATAATATTATTATAAAATGTTAACCTTGTCCCTTTAGCTTTGTAACTTCACTCTGAAAGTGTAGAATTGGGCAAGATTAATGAAGTTTAGGATTGTGTTTAGATGCTATGACTTTTAAAACATCTGATTACAGTCTGTATGCAATCTGAGTTATGCTTCCTATTGTATTTGAGCATTTTATTACTAAGTGCAGTTTTGGAAAGATCACTGATATATTAAACTACAAATTGGGTTCATCCTGGAAACCTGACGTAGTTAGTTTTGGCTAAATAAGAGTACATTAACTGCTCAATTGTTAATCAAGTTGGCAAACAATAAATATATCATATCTGATCAAAAGCTGTAATATATTTTAAAATTAATTATTTTTCCTTTACAGAAAATTCTTTGCCAAAAACAAAATTACCTGAAGACAGTATTATGTCACCGTACAATTTAAACACAAACTATCCAGGGCTTACCACAGGAAATGGAATCTCAGACTCACCAGCAGGATCAAAGGAACATGGCAATGTACCCATTATTGTACCATTAATTCCACCACCTTTTATAAAGCCACCAGCAGGTAAATAATTTATTTTGTAATCTTTTGCTCTTCTTAGATCATGTTCTTAAATGTTTTAAAGTTACAAACTAAAAAGTTCAGGAGTACAGGTAGTCCTCGACTTATGACAACAACAGAACCCAAAATTGTATTGCAAGGCAGTTGTTAAGTGAGTCACAGCCTATTTTACGACCTTTTTGCCATGGCCCCAGCCAGCAATAGAGCTGAGGTGGCGCAGTGGTTAAATGCAGCACTGCAGGCTACTTCAGCTGACTGTAGTTCTGCAGTTCGGCTGTTCAAATCTCACCGGCTCAGGGTTGACTCAGCCTTCCATCCTTCCGAGGTGGGTAAAATGAGGACCCGGATTGTTGTTGGGGGCAATATGCTGACTCTGTAAACCGCTTAGAGAGGGCTGAAAGCCCTATGAAGCGGTATATAAGTCTAACTGCTATTGCTATGGTTGTTAAGCGAACCACTGCAGTTAAGTGAATCATGTGGTTTTTAAGCAAATCTGTCTTCCTCCATTAATTTGCTTGTCAGAAGCTCCATAAGAAGGTTGCAAATTACAATCCTAGGATCCTGGGATGCTGCAACTATTCTAAATATTTGCCAAATGCTTAATTTTTTAAAGATGTGTCTATGGGAATGCTGCAATGGTCTTAAGTGTGAGAACTGTTCATAAGCCATTTTTTTCAGTGCAATTGTAAATTTGAATGTCAAAAAATGAATGGCTGTCAGTTGAGGACTGCCTGTAGAATATTTCAAACTCATAGTTAATAGAAAATGCTTTTGGAAAGTACTAAAATGCTCTCAGAAAGGCATGGTTTAGGTGAACATCATGGGGAGGAGAATTAGAATGTTCTGGAGTGGTTCCATTCTTTAATCAGTGAATTTTGCAAGAGATTTCAGTACAGACTGAGAGCCTCAAGTGGGATCATGTGATCATGGGGAGAGGCCCCTAGTGGTCAAAATTTTAAATCAGTGTCGTATGTAGCCCTGGGAGTCCATTGTAACTTTGAATAGTCACTAAGTTGAGGACTGCCTGTATTTACAAAGTCAGAAGAATACTTTTCTTTAGAACAGGGGTGGAAAATGTGACCTTCAATGTTTTTCTATCACAACTGCTATGATCTACCATGCTGGCTTGCTCTAAAGAGAGTTGGATTTTTTTTTCACTGCTGTAGTAACAATGTTGGGTTAAGTCTGCAGATTTATTTAACTGCACAAGTAGACCTATTGCAATATCAATATTTAACAAAAAGATTTTTAAAGTTTTGTGAAATAATTTAAGAATCGTATATAACTGCAGTCTTCCAGGCCGATGGTCCCCAACATTTCTGGCTCTGTGGACTGGCGGTGCCAATTGCAGCAATGGGGAGAGAGGATGGTTTGCGCCACTTGTGCAAATGCAGCCCTGTGTGCTCACCCACGGCTTGTGTGACCCAGTTACCAACAGTTTGCAGCCCAGGACCAAGTTCTGGTCTGGGGGTTGGGGACCTCTGTTTTAGGTTATAATAAAATTCAATCTGATCTTAAGATTCAGACTTCTGACTAGAATAGTGATGGCAAACCTTTACGGCACCAAGTTCTGAAAAGGGAGCGCGTGCGCATGGCACCAAGTGTAAAAAAGGAGCACTTCACAAAGAAGCGCTCATCTGGCCAGGAAGAGGCGCTGCCTAGGGATCGTGTATGCAGCGGAAAATGAAATTCCAGTTTCCAGTGCACTCATGGCCCTAGCCAGCAAGTCTTCCAGTTACTGCCATATATGCGCACCTGCCGATCAAGTGGCCGGTGCACATGCTCATGCCAGAAAATGGAAGACCTGCTGTTCCAGTTTCTGGCACTGCCACATGCACAAAGGCCATCTGATCAATACATGTGCAGGCAAGCTAGAAACCCAAAAGAGGAATGGGCAATGTCATGCGTGCTAGGCGACATGGTCCCATGTGCCACTTCAGGCATGTGTGCCACAGGGACTAGAACATGGTTCCTAAAGTGTTTGCCATCACACCTCCCTTTGATCTTAATGTACATACTACCCCTAAAAATCCAGAATGAATAAAATGAACAATGAGAACAATACAGGTAGCCTTCACATAAGAACCACAATAGGGACCATCAACTCTGTTGCTAAGTGATGTTGTTGTTGTGCAGAATGACATGACACTGCGGGACGTATAACCTCATTTGTCCTGCAGTTATTAAACAAATCACCCATGGTTGTTAAGTAAGACATCATGTAACCACAACTTGCAATTTTACTGCCACCTTCTCCATTGACCTTGCTTGTTGGAATCCAGCTGTGAAACATGCAAATGGCTATCATATAATCAGGGAACACTACAAGACTCCTAAATGCCTACTGGTTGTGAAGTGCTTGAATCTTAATCACATCACAGTGGGTGTGCTGTGACATAAGTGTGAGAACAAGTTATAAACTTACTTTTTCAGCATTATCTTAACTATGAATGGTTGCTAAACAAGGCAGTTGTTACCCATATAATGAAACTTGGGGAAAGATGGATTATTGCAGCTATAAACAATGTAACAAATGGGTTCTTCAAATGTCCCCTGGACTTTATCTGCTTCTCTAAGGAGGTATACATCATAATTTGAGAATATTTGGTCTAGAAGGCTCGATTTAAAATTACTGGTGCAAAGAATATATGAATGTGAGCAACCCAGGTTTGTTTTGTTGTACAGGTAGACCTTGACTGACAACTATTAGTTCAGTGATTGTTTGAAATTATGACAGTGCTTGAACAACTTATGACCAGTCCCTGAAGTTAGGCCTTTTCCAGCACCCCTGTGATCATATGATCTTGATCTTACAGAATACAGAATAATAGAGTTGGAAGAGACCTTGGACTGGAGGTCTTTTAGTTCAACCCCCTGCTCAAGCTATACCAATTCAGACAAGTGGCTGTCCAGTCTCTTCTTAAAAGCGTCCAGTGATGAAGCACCCACAACTTCTGAAGGCAAGCCATTCTCACTCGTTATAAAATTTCTCCTTAGTTCTAGGTTGCTTCTTTCCTTGATTAGTTCCTATCCCTTATTTCTTATCCTGCCTTCAGGTGCTTTGGAAAATAGGTTGACCTCCCTTTTCTTTGTGACAGCCCTTCAAATATTGGAACACTGCCATCATGTCACCCATGTCTCTTCTTTTCACTACACTAGACATACCCAATTCCTGTAACCATTCTTCATGTTTTTTAGTTCAGAGTTCTTCAACCTTTCCAGCTTTGTGGACTGGCGGGGGGCAAGGGGATGGATGGTTTGCACAAGCAGCGGGCAATCACACACTCACCTGCTGCTCATGCAAATGGGTATGTGCCTATGTGATCTCG